TAAATTAAAAATAAGTAAATATACATATACTTTTTTGACGTCAAGGTGTTTCAGAGGGAAAGTAATTGAATGCAAATTCGGTATACATAGATGCAGATTGAATTTATTATAATGGAAAGTGTATTTTTAAAATTAGTTAGAATTATCATTAACGACTCTTTTCAATAATATTTATTATAATGGGCATAAATCGAACAACTATTTCCTTGATGACTCCAATTTGAAATGTATAAATTAGGTAACACACACACGGGAAAAATAATTGAAAAATATAGTCACATTAGAAAAGCTAATTACAATATTGCTTAGAGTAAGTATTCAAACCAGTTTGGGAAGAAGAGGAAATGCTGCACGGCTACAGCAAACCTAAAGTCGAATGCAATGTCTGCTGATGACGGACCCGGAAGCTTATTGATATGACTATGCAGACAACCTGCTTTCATTTTCTGTGATCTAATAAATATCCGCATACATCAAAGTCTATTTTCGAGCATTCGTAACAAGATTGTGCTATAATGTGCGAGTGTGTGTGTGTGTGTGTGTGTAGGCGCTTTGAAGTGCTGCTGGCAACTGTTGCCAAAGTTTTGCCAGCCAAAGTTCCGCCGTGTTCGCATCCCGGAATACGCGCTGTAGTTGTGTTGTCTGTTCGGCGTGATTTTTCGACATGCCGACACTTGTTTTTGGTCTAAGTGATTTAGGTAAAAGTTTTCGGGCTCTGCCCTGCCCCCGCCCGCTCTGCGCAGCGGAAATGTATCGCTGAGCGAGAGCAAAACTTTTGCTGTACATAATCGTTGCTCGTCCCGCCGGAAGTGAATCAAAAGAAACAGTTTACAAAATTCTGTTTCTACTGAATGAATTTTTGAGAAACTTTGCCCGCCAGCCTCGAATCGCAGCGGGCTCAGCCACTGGCCGTGTCTGAATCGTTGCATAATTCGGTGGCACTTGGCCGGCAGTTAGCACCGCTCAAGTGAGCTAAAATCAATAAGCAATTGTTTACCGAGATGATTAGCTATGCTACACACACACACACACACACACGCACACACGCACACACTGTCTCCCTCTCGCTCATTCTCCCTCTCTTTCGCCGACTGTTTGCCAAGCGTTTACGTGTGGATTATGTGACGACTAACGGTTAGCATTTCACGTGAGCTGGAATGTGTGCACGTTTCACACTTGCGATGGGGGAGAGGGAAGGGGAAGGGTGTTGCTCCACAGCTGCTGCTCCCCAGTCCGGTCATAATTCATTTGCATAACATTAACTGCTGCCAGGATGCACGAACATGCAACGACGCCGCTCGAGCGGGTCCCTCGAAAGTGTAAAGTGGGCTAACAACTGGGCTTAAATAAAATATGTATGCCAACGAATTATCCACAGACCGTTTAAATATGTAGATAGTGAGCTTTGCTCGCCTTGTCGTTACTATCTTAGTGCGCGCACATCATTTATATGCAACAATTTTGGGGCAGCGTAATTGACTTCATATTTTTACTCATAATATTCATGGAGCTGCTGGAGTGATCCTTCCAGCCACTGACACTCGGGTCGAATCCAAATGAAACCTTTTGTCAATCTTCATTTCAGCTCAATTTATTTATACACTCTGACCTAACTTTAATTTCCATGCGACTTAGTGGGGCGTTCGATGCTTGTTCTCTTGATTGATTCACTTCTTGAGGAGGGTGGAGACCACAGCGGGCGCCGCATAGGTGGAGACCACAGCGGGCGCAGCATAGGCGGAGTAGACAGATGGCGACACATACGAGGCGGAGTACACGGAGGGAGCGGCTGCGTAGGTGGTGTAGGCACGTGGCACGGCGGCCGAGTAGACGGCAGGTGCGGCTGCATAGGTCACGGCAGGTGCAGCGGCGGCGTAGGTGGCAACGGGCGCCACAAGATGGGCCTGGGCCACGGCGACGAAGAGAGCCAAGCAAATGAGGAACTACAAAGGCAATAGAGCCATAGGTAAACAGAGCTATCTGCAGAGCTGATGGATGGAACTTACTTTCATGTTGATTTTGATTGTTTTTGGCGGTGTTCGACGAACGTTGGAAGTTGGTTGACTGGTGCTGGTCCACGGACAGACTGCTCCATTTATACTCGCCGTTGAGCCAGAACAAGTTCTGCGGACACGGATGTGAATTGGTAGCGCCGTGGACATTAATCCGGCATATCGAATGGATTAGCTTTGCTCGCCTCGCCACCTAATGGATATTTATTTTTAGGCCCTACAATTGACAATTGCGCCAGAAATGTGTCGGGGGCGGGGGGCTGGGTCTTATTGTTTTCGATTTCAGTTGAGCGGTGACAAGCAATATTGCCAGACGCGAATCAAGGTGTAAAGGGCAATCAGTATAAAATAATGATACACGCATGTACCCATATAAATCGCTGGGTATCTGCACAACTGGAAGTCGCCATGTAATTTGCGTCATAAACTCCATGTTTACAAACAATTGTAGCGTTTGGCATTGACATTCACCGACTCGGACGACAGGTGTTGAAAACCACTTAATGAGCGCTCTTTTGTTGTACTTACTTCGAAATATAACAGAGATTGAGATATCGATCATTCTGATTGCCGTTTAACTATGCAATTCATAGCAAGAGCTACTGGAGTGCCGCATGAAACTGTCTTTCGATAAAAAGCTCCATGTACATATGTATATACTTAAAGTAATTTTAAATGCAATTACTAAGTGAAACTTTGCTAGTTTGCTACAGTAATTGATATGCTGGGAAAAGAGAGAGATACATGGTATATACTGTGTTAATAAATTGAGCAGAATTGTCATACTGGGTGATACTCTGAAGTCAACTCCCATTTTATGCTCTTTCTACAAAGCAATTTTAGTTGGCTTTTAAGGCTAATGTTAAGGAATTGGAATGGCCCCAGGCCATTACGGCACCTCAATTTAAGGCCAATACATAATTAGTTATTAACATATGTAACTTAAATATCGATTGTAGACGCTTAAGAAGTAGAAATTTAATTCAAATGCATAAATTTTAAAATCTAAGTATAAGAAATCGGATCACAATGAATATTAAAAATCTCAGAACGTAGTTTGCCAATAAGAGATGAGTTTAGTGGAGAGAGCACATGGTAATTGAAGTATCGATAGACTAGCAGCAAGGCATCGATATATACCATAGTGCTATTCCCTCTAAACTCAACTACTTTCTTATTGGCATACTGTTATGTTAAATCACTGACCAGTGGTTAAATAAAACAATACATAAAATAGCGCTTGTTATCGATTTAGACCCATGTGCTATCGAAGGATTATGTTATGCTTCTACTGTGGCTTACACGAATTCACATTTAAAATTTCAAATGGGATTATTATTATATATTATATATTTGAATATATTTTGCATAATATATATGCCAATAAAATATATAGTTGAGGCATATCATCTTAAACTTTTCAATATAGCAAAACTATTCTGTTCGCATTTGTCTCCGATTCACGCATCCATTTTAGTGGAATACCCCTCCAGTTATCATTGTCAACTGACAACTGTCCCTTTGATATCGATACGACTCTGGTAGCTTTTGAAGTTCCAGTCTCTTTAATAGAACTTTTCAAAGCGTGCACAACAATTGTGTTCGTAATGCAGAATAGAAAGCTTACAAAAAGTGATTACTATCAATCGCGAACGGAAAGGAACGATAGAGATAACTCATTCATGGGCAATGCCGATGAAGCGCTCGAAATGCTAACCTCGAGGCGTGCCAAGCTGCGCGATTGGATACAAAGAGCTGTAAGTAGATATCACACACACACACACACATACATACATATACATATGTATGTACATTTATGCAACTCACTCTGCATTCTGACACTCCCCATGGCAGTGGACGCACTACAACCAAAATCAGATTGACGGGTTTGTGCTGCTGCTGGAGAATTCGATTACGCGCGGGCTGAAGGGCTATCCCGGGTATGAGGCAGATCTGCTAAGAACTCACGCTATGCTGACCGCCCATTACTTTCGCATGGCTTGTAACGAGGTGGGCCAGCGCAGCTCCGATTGGCAGGAGAAGGTCTTGGACCAGCTGCAGATCATTGACGCAATGAATATRGAGTCCAATGAGATTCCGTACCTGCTGTCTCGCGGCTTTGCGCTGATGCTGGTTGATGGCTGTCTTCCGGAAGTGCAGATGCAGTTCGTATCCGTGCTGCGCCAGTCGCCATACAATGTGCCCGCGCTGCTGGGCCTCGGCTGCCTGGCGTACAATCGTCAGGAGTACCGCTCGGCCCTGGGCTACTTCAAGAGTGTGCTGTCGCATCACCCAGACGGGCCGGCCGATGTGCGCCTGGGCATGGGCCACTGCTTCCTAAAGATGGGCGACCTGGACAGGGCCCGGCGAGCCTTCGAGCTGGCCGTGGAGAGCAACGAGCGCTGCATAAATGCGCTGATAAGCATTGCCCAGCTGAAGCTCAACGAGCGCCAGCGCGAGGCCAACGTGGAGGCGACGAAGCTGCTATGTACTGTCTTTGAGCTGAACAATCGGCATCCCGTCGTGCTCACCTGGCTGTCGTGCCACCTGTACTATACGCGCAACTATGAGAAGCTGCGGACGGCGGCGGGCAATGCCTTTTTGATTACCGATGATCCGGATCTGAGGGCCCAGAACTGTTACCACATTGCGCGCAGCTTTCACGCGACGAAGGAATACGATCGCGCCTTCGACTTCTATGGCAAGGCCGTGAGGTTCCAGCCGAACTTTTCGCCGCCACACCTGGGCGTCGCCCAGATATACGTGCGTCGCGGGCAGCTGTACTTGGCGGAGCTCTCGCTGCGCTCCTTGCTCAAGATGATGCCCGAGAATACGGAGGCGCTGCGCATGCTGGGTGCGATCTACACCCAGTCCGCCGAGCCCACTAAGCTGGACAAGGCCGTTCAGCTATTCCAGAGCGCGCTGGACCACGGCGGACGGGAGGACTGCGACACATGGCTGGCTCTAGGCGAGGCCTACGAGCGCAAACAGCAGTGGCAGCCGGCCATTGACGCCTATGAGGAGGCCATCAGCATCTACCAGCGTACGCACGGTAAGGACAAGGATATACCCCTCCCTTGGCTTAATAATTTGGCTGCGCTGCAGCAGCACGCCGGGCTGCCAGAGGCGGCGCTTATTACACTGGATAAGGCAATTAGGGAGCTACCAAAGAACCCGAACTCGGAGCATAGCGAGAGCAATTTGCTGACCGTAAGGTTCAATAGGGCGCGCGTGCTGGAGGATCTGGGCTTGGTGATCCAGGCAGAGAACAGCTACAAGCAACTAATCATTGAGTACCCCAACTATTACGACAGCTACCTGCGATTGGGCGTGATGGCCAACAAGTGCAATAAAGCAGACATGGCAGTGCACTACTTCACTGCGGTGCTTCGTCTGGAAGCCGATCACATAGTAGCGAGGTAAGTGCTAAGCCGTCTTTACTTTCGTTGTGATAAACCAGTCAACTCTTTGTAGGACGTTTCTGGCCAACTTGTATGCTAGGCATGGCGCTCTATCGCAGGCCATGTGCAGCTACAGTCTGATCATGCGTCGACAAGCCAATGCCGCTGTTTCCAGCACGCTCGTCGCCGTGGGTAACGTGTGCTTGCTCAAGGGGACGCGGGCAACTGCCAGTGACGAAGCGGATATGGCTTTACAGTACAACCAGAATGCTCTGCAGATGTTCTGCAAGGTGAGTGGATCGAGGTTGTCATTAGACCCAAAGTATTTCTCTATTTAAGCGTGTATTGCGATTCAGGCCATCGAGAAGAATAAACGTAATCTGTGGGCGGCTAATGGCTTGGGCGTGGCTATGAGTCAACTCAGCCACTTGTCAGTTGCAGAGACAATCTTCAAGCAGGTTGCTGAGTCTAGCTCACTCTGCTCGAATGCAATCTTGAACTGGGCACACGTAGCCTTGGACTTGAAACACTACTCGGACGCAGTAGAGATCTATAGGAAGTGCCTAAAGGACGTCCTGCCCGCTAACAGTGTGAAGGAAATGCAAATGCTAGCCTCTGCTCTCTATCAGAGCGAGCAGTTCGATGAGGCCAAGATGATTCTGTGCCAGGCACGGCGTGCGGCACCCCATAATCCGAATATAATCTTTAATTTGGGATTAGTCATAAAGCAGGCTATTCGGAGCACATTTGATACCATCCAAACTGATCTCACTGAACTGCAAAAAGCCGAGCAGAACATCAGCATCGCCCTGAGGTTGGTTTTACACTTAATTTACTTACTTTCCTTTAATGATTCTAAATGATCTTTTCTTTTTAAAGATTCTTTCAATACCTAAGCCAAGGAAAAGAGGAATTGAAATCAGCTAGAAAGCAATCTAAGAAGTGTACCAAGCTTCAACAAAGAATTGTAGAAGAACTTCAGAATCTACGTGAACAGGAAGAACTAAGCAAGAAGCAAGAGCGCCGTAAGGCTAGGAAAAATAAGGAAAAGGAAACTGAAAAGGAAGGCCACAACGAAGAGCCACGAAGAATTCATGAAGAGAACCCAACACAAGTTGATGAGCCGAATGAGAACCCAACTGTGGACACTGAATACTCTAAGAAAAAGCGGTCGAAAAAACGGCGTAATTCGAGCAGAGATGTTGATGAGCTGCAAAACTTAGAGCTGGAGGAATCCAAGAGTAAGAAAAAATACCGAAAGAAGGAAAATCAGCAAGAAATTACAGAGATACAAAGCGATGCTGATGTAGAGAAGCGGGTGGGTCCGGTAAAGTTATCTGAGCGAGATCGTATTCTCGAAAAAGACCAATCCACAAAGCGGAAAGAAGAAAAAGCAAATGACGCCAATAACCTTCAGGCTGTCAAAAATGGGAATGAAACTAGTGGGGAAACCTCGCAATCGCATTCAAATAAGTCAATTGGAAAGGATGAGCTTGAACAGAAAGGAAAGGAGGAGTCACTAGATAAGAAGTCACGAAAATCAAAGCGAAAAGAGAAACATAATGATAAGCAAGACGATGGGGTGATGAAAAAACCAGAGACAGTCCACGATCCAGCTCAAGTTGAGAAGAACCCGCTCCAATTAGAGACAGATTCACTCAATTCAATAGTTACCTCAACGGAAGCACCTATAGATAGATTTGTTGCTTCGAGTGGGGAAACCATTAAAAAGCATTCTAATAATGCAGTGGATATGACTGAGCTTAAAAAGGAAGAGAAGGAGGAGTCACTAGACAAAAAGTCACGAAAAGCGAAGAGAAAAGAGAAGCAAAAGCAATTGGAAGGTGAGGAGAATAAAAAGCCGGTGACAGTCCAGGATCCAGCTGAAGTTGGGAAGAACCAGCTCCAGTTATTCAACTCAAAAGTTGCCTCAATGGAAACAACTAAGCCAGAAAGCCAAGTTGCTTCGAGTGGGAAAACCTTGAAAAATCATTCGAATAAGGCAATGAATAATGCTGAGCAGGAAGGACAAAAGGAGACACTTAATAAAAAGAAGGAGAAAATTGAAAGTGAGGAAAATAAAAGTGTAGAGAAAGTTCACCGTTTAACTCGAAATGAGGATAAACAACTTCAGGTAAACTCAATAGATGCTGTATTGGAAGCATCCCAACCCGAAAACATAGATGCTTTGAGTGGGGAAGCCCTGAAAAAGGATAAACATCAAAAACAGAAGACACAAGATAAGAGACAAACAACGGAACAGAAGCTAATCGATAAGAAAATCGAAATTGATGAGTATAGGAAACCAGAGAAGGTCCGAGGTCACGTTCAAGTTGAGAAGCTGCTTCAACCAAACACGGATATATTAAAATCAATGCCTGAATCGAAGCTACAAAATTCCGATACTTCGAGTGAGGAAACCTTAAAAAGGCATTCAAGTAAGTCAACGATGAAGGACAAACATCAAAAGGAAAGAAAGGAGGAGACACACGATAGCAAACGATCAAGAAAACACAAGCACACACAAGATAAGAAAATCGACTATGAGGAAAGTGGGAAGCCAGACAATGGCCGAGGTCCCGCTCAGGTTGAGAAGAAGCTGCTTCAGCCAGAGGCAGATGTATTAAAATCAACGGCTGAATTAGCGAAAGAACCAAAATGCGAAAACTTAGATACCTCGAGGGGGGAAGCCTTGAAAACGCATTCAAGTAAGTCAATGATGAAGGATGTACATCACAAGAAGCGAAAGGAGGAGACACAAGATAGGGGAGAAACACGAGAACAAAAGCCAACTGATAAGAAAGTCGAAAGTCAGGAAGTCCGAGGTCCAGCAAAACCAATTGATAAGAAAACTGAAAGTGACTGTAAATATCCAGAGCATGTGCGAGATCCAGCTCAAGAGAAGCAGCCAGGGATGGATATATTACAATCAATTGCTTCATTAATGGTAACACCCAAGGCAGATGCTTCAAACAAGGGGCAGAAGCACACGTCTCGGAAACGAAAAAACGATGATAAAGAGTTGGGGAATGAGAAGAAACACAAATCAGATGGAAAAGGAAAGAAATAGAGCGCATAAATGCAGGTGAATTGGAATGAGACGGAAGCATTCACTTTAAGAATCGCACTAGTTTGATTGCCCATATAGACACCACGGGCAGATTCGATTATGCAGTGAGTAGTCACTCGCTGTCAATATTTAGGGAATGGTAGTATGTGTTTTCTGCAAATGTCGTAGCACTTAACATCAGCAGAGTTTTGAATTCCCTCGAGGTAAAAATAAAAGAAATGCGCAAACATGAAGCTCTCGTACAATTTATTTGTGGACACGATATGTGACTGAGTTGTCGCAGAGGGACTGAATGGGGGGCTAGCCCCGTTGAGACTGGGTTATGTGTATGCGTATGTGTGTGTGTGTGTCTGTGTGTGGACTTACGTGTGTGTTCATTTGAATGTCAAGTCATGTTAAATAACCGCAGGACATTGGTCGCCGGCTTAAATTACGCATACTGGAGGCCACTTTGTAACTGTCAGTGTCAAACGAACCGAAGTCAAATTCAAACGCGAAAAAATATGTTCGCTCATTAATATCAATTTATGAGCTGAGACACGAAATTAGTCAAGTGACAAGTTGCGCTGCAGGATGTGGACTTCACACAGACCCACACACACACACACACACACTCACACAAATACACACAGGCATTTTCTGTCGCTGACATCTGAAGGCATACATATATGAGTTTGTGTTTAGTTTTGGGTGCTTTTTGTGGTTTGCGTCTGGGGCTTTATTGTGTTGCGTTAATTAATTCCAAAAATGTATTGCGTGTCCTGCCAAAAGGACAAATATGCACACGCGGAATCATGTCATGTGGGTCCTGTTGCGTGTGTAGACGGCGGCTATGTGTGTGTCTGTCTGTGTCATTAGCAGCGACTCTTTAAATTATGAAAAATCATATGTGTAACATGCATATATAAAGCAAATCAGCGTCAAATACCAGCCGACAGTCAAGCTCTGACAGCTTCTTAGCACAAATGCCTAAGGAATGTGCTCATAAGCTAAAAATAAATGAAGGCGCTCCATATCGAGCGACACATCAATCAGATATACAAGCCGTATCGTCATCATCCAATTAAAGTCTGCGCATTCGTGTTCAGATTTAGTTCTTTATTTATTCTTGCACATAATTCAGATTTGTTTTAATCCTCTTCATATTTAGATTTATCTTATAAAATGATAATCCAAACAAATACATGAAAGATTTCGCTTACAATTTAAATAATTGACAGACAAAAGTGTAAAACTAGGTTTAGCGACATTTCGAAATGAAAGTAAACTTGAAAATATATATATATACTTGTGTGGGAAGTTATACAGTTCACTATACAATAAATATATATTAATTAGAATTAAGTTATTTTAATTTACAATTCGAGTCACATTATTATTTGATTTCGTCCATTCAAAAAGCACTTGCAATTAATTTATTAAGATGGTTCCAAACAAATTTCTACACTTGACAAAAACTTGAAGTTTCAGAGTGTTATTTATTTAATTTCTTTTTATTTTTATTCTTAAAGAGTTGAATTTGAATAATTTTTGTTTTGGGCGGGTGGCAAATTTTTTACATACACATTGAACATTGGCGCGAGCATATGGATTTTCTTTTTTTTTTTTCATTATTTCTGTTTTTTTAATATATGTATACTATATATACTTACATATTTGATAAAGTTTCGACAACAGATGCTCCATAAAGTTCTTTCACATTTAACAAAATATTATCAGTGTTATACGAGTAACATATATCGTATGCAATATATATACATATATCTTGATTTGCGCTTAGCTTGTTTCCATTAATGTTTATCTATGTGTATATAATACGTTATCTATGCCATATAAGTCAGTAATATACTCAGGATTTGTTCATTTTCGAAAGGGGGATAGTCTTTTCGTAGATTCAATGTGACTAACTAATTTAGTTACAGACTACACGAGTTAAGTGACTATAATTAATGCTAACCTCTATGGATCTCATAGTCTTAGTCTAGTTAGTATATACAATACGGGACACATCTAAATTCTCAAAGGGTTCTTCGATATACATTCATATAGATTTTCTTCGTGTATTCATATATATATTTTCGCTATGATGTATTTGCATTTAGTTAAGTATTTGTTTAAACTAGTTTCTTGGTGAATTCACAAGCATAGCTCATTAATTTCATTGAAGTAATTTGCGCACAAAGTATCTCAAGTATACCTAGTTCAGTATCTAACTGTTTCTTGGTACATACTCGTAAGYGTAAGCTAAAACTATCAGTATTGCCTGGTTTCACCGAWATGCATATATATYSTCGTATRTATATATGCCGAACTATATGCAAACTGCTCTTCGGGTAGTGGAGTAAACTATAAATGCTTCGTTCTCTTGTGGTTTACAGTTCAAGTCGAGTCCGCTCAACTTCGCTCCTAGTCGCTCTGCCCTCTTGGAAGTCTTGTAAGTTCTGTTCGCTTCGCCTCGCCTCATGCGAAATGTCTGCCGTGAGCTATATTCGAAGAGCTAGACGAAGGTGCTGGACAACTACATAACTATAATACAAAGTGGGAGTGCAGTTCTGGCCCGGGCCTGGGCAGGGCCGGGTAGTGMAGCTGAGGGGGAGGAGGATTGGTTTAGACGATGGTGGTGCGCTCGGCGCCCGATGTGGTGCACGTACTGCTCCCGCCTATGCACACGATCTGACATTTAATGTCATCTTTGGCTAACTCTCAGGAGCCCATCGTCTCGTAGTTGCTCGCGCCACCGCCGACGACTCCCATCAAGGAGCTGCCCACGCTCAGCAGCGGCGACTGTGTGCCAGCCCCGGTGCCCAGCGTGCTGTAGGCGGTCTGGGAGCGCGGCGAGGTGAGCAGCGACTGGGCAGCTCCGATGGTTATGTTGCCGCTGGTCACCGAGCTGGTCATCGCGGCCGAGACGCCGCCCAAGTGCAGGCTGCCCGGGTGCGGCAGCGTGTTGCACGTGATGCCAGCGCCAATGCTGCCGCTGTTGGTCTGCAGCGAGCCATTCGACTGGCCATTCAGCAGCGGCATGGTGCAGGTCGTGGTCGAGCCGTAGGGCGAGGTTGGCGACGTGCGTGTCTCGTACGCGGGCAAGTAGGTGGTGGCGCCTCCGTTCGGCCCACTGCTGCCGCGTCCCGGTATTCTAGTATAAATATTTGGCGGCGTTCGTGTTGACAACAGGGGCGGCGGAGCCGTGTAGACCGGGCGTTGGGCAGCTGGCGCCCTCTGTGGTGTGTTGTACAAACTAAAAGCGGGATTGGTCGTCAGCGACAGCTCTCCATACTGCAAAGAGAGCGAGAGAAAAGGAGAGAAAGAGAAAGAGAGAGAGAGAGATTGTTCGTTTAGTAACTGCTCGCTCATAAATAATTTAAATTGAAGTGCAACTTTCGTGCATGTTCAAAATTCAGATAACTAATTTTTGCATGTGTGGCTAAAAAGTTGGCAACCAGTGAAAACAACTTGAACTGCTAATGAGCTTGTTAGCCAACAGCACAAGCCGAAAACCCAAACAAGGGCAACTTTAAATGTGCTTGGCCACAGTCAAAGCAAAAACTATTTCCGAGCTCATCAAAATTTGATGCCTTGACCCCTTGCTGAATAAAAGCAACAACAATCGAGAGACACAATTGTGGCATGAACTGTCCACCTCCTCTCATTTCGTGCATGGGAATTATTAATACGAACTATAAATGAAATCCTCCTGCGGCTCATACGACACGAAACTTGCGTTATTGATGGAGCTTGACACCTTCAATTGTTTGCCATAAGTGTTTCAATATTTGAATTTTAAGTTTATGCTTAAAATAAACAAAACAATGCCGCTTATTATCAGCGTGTCAACGGACTGTTAGTATTTCGGTCTAAATAAACCCACAATCACATGTAATATTTATTTACGATCTCTGACTAATTGGTGCCAAATGTAAGCAAGCTCTTTACCCAATTTGCGTCGGCTGTCGAACAATGGCAACGCCCACGCTCTGCCAACGGCCTGCTAAATCAATACGCGTCAATAATGCGTAATAATAATTTGTGTGGTCTATGAACATGAAATCAGATATTTCTAGCTGCCCATAGAAAATGCGAGTTCTGTTGTTTACTGCTTACATCGGTTCGTGTTTCTGTTTTTCGTTTACTGAAATGAAGGTCGCATTGACGACTCTGATATCAAATTAAATTGAATCGAAGCTGTGCTGGCTGATTGTCAGGATATTGGGTTCATTTCGGCTAAATATAGACCTCAACTTGATGGGCTTTAACTGAAGGGCAGTTTAGTGGCTTCTTGCAGAAGTCAGACAGTTGGAATACCCGAAACCTGAGTAACCAATCTTTGCCATTGAATACGTATTCAGAATGGTTTATGGAGAGCACAAATATATAATAATTTAGACTGCAAATATATTTTTATATTATGTGCATATTGTTTCGCCCCAAAGTATGCAACATAAAAGTAAACTGCGAAACGTATCTGCCCCAAATTATGCTATACTTTCTTAAACTTATGATGACATTTTATTATCCCAATTATTGAGTAACCAAGCGGAAAAAGAGAAGAATTAAAAGGTGCCACCTATTGGATTTCCATAATAAATTGTTGAAGTATTTGAAAATTTTTAAAAATTGCTAGAAATATCTTTTTTATAAGCTGAATTAATTCTGTCTTAGATTTAGTTGTCTCTAATGGTAGCAGAAAGCTTGTTAAATAATATATTTATAAAACTTAATATAAATGAAA